GATTTAATCAAATAAAGACATAATTCAATTCAAGTTTATTTGTATAGTGCTTTTCACAATACAAATTTACAACTTTACAGAAAATTAAGTTTCTACAATATTTAGTGCTAGCTTATCAGTGGTGACTGTCAGTTAATGTACATATGGCAGAAATGTACGGAAAAATCAATTAAAGACGTAATCAAACAGACGATGAAAAGACATAAAGAAAATAAATAAAATGTATTAAAAGAGTGTCACAAAAACGAGCGTAGCCTATACTTGTTGCAGTGTTTATTTCCCCCTTTTGTTAATCTGTTAATTATATTATAGCCTATTATATATTTTGTGTGATCCTATTTATTTTATTCCTTCTATAGACTTAATTTCTATTTTTCTCCTTTCACAGAAGTGCAGCAGGTGCATGATGTGACGACGTTTTTATGTCAGCAGGTTGAAGCGACCACAATAACGTGATATTTAGGCCCTGGAATGTGAATTGTACCAGGAGAACCCTACCAAAAAATGTGTATTTTACCCCCCGAATGCGATTTTCTACTGGGGGACCCCCTCGAAAGCAATTGGGCTATTTTCAGGCTAGTTTTGAGTAGTAATTGGGCATGCAGCTGCAACTGCAACTGAATGCTACCCCAGATAGTCCTTCAGTGTGAAAACAACAGTGATGCGACGTCTTTGAAAATCGTGCAGTGTGAACTCGGCATAACTTGCTCAAGCGCTCCTCTTTTGTGCCAATCACAACAGGCTTGGCCAGCTGACCAATCAGAGCAGAGTAGGCTTATGGAAGGGAGGGGTTTACAGTTTACTCAGAACTGAATCGAACAAACCGTTTTGAAATCATGGACAAATGATGTATAAACGTATATTCTGGGAAAATTACAGTGTTTTCTGACCTTAGATGCATTTAAACCTGTTGTAGGGGACTCCAACACAATATTAGGACACTTTAAAAAACCATATGACCTGCTGTTTAAAGCAGCGTTTGTGAGCGCAGTGCTGCTTTGTGTACAGCATTACCAGGGAAACCGCTATTTTACCGCTCCAAAGTGGCACCTAGTGGCAAAGAATGAATTAGCATTTTCATTCAGACCAACGCGAAAAGAACAAGTGGGCGGGCAATATGCTAATGTTTCATGTTGACGTCAGTATGAAATGGCTTGGGATTCGTTTTAAAAATGACTCGTTTCCTACAACAAATATTTTAAATGTAACGGTATTCAGAACAGAACAAGAATGAAAAATAAGTAGTTATAAAATGATATATTCAACTATAAAATAAATCTAACTAGGCTATAGTGGCATATTCTATAGTGGCATATTCGGCTCACGAGCCTGCCTCATACCACAAGAATCCAAATGTTTCCATTTTTGCCATATTTGTAACATTTGTTTGCATAACTATTATTTATTATGTAGCCTAAACATGGCTTTATACTTGTTAATTATATTATAGCCTATTATATATTTTGTGTGATCCTATTTATTTTATTCCTTCTATAGACTTAATTTCTATTTTTCTCCTTTCACAGAAGTGCAGCAGGTGCATGATGTGACGACGTTTTTATGTCAGCAGGTTGAAGCGACCCCAATAACGTGATATTTAGGCCCTGGAATGTGAATTGTACCAGGAGAACCCTACCAAAAAATGTGTATTTTACCCCCCGAATGCGATTTTCTACTGGGGGACCCCCTCGAAAGCAATTGGGCTATTTTCAGGCTAGTTTTGAGTAGTAATTGGGCATGCAGCTGCAACTGCAACTGAATGCTACCCCAGATAGTCCTTCAGTGTGAAAACAACAGTGATGCGACGTCTTTGAAAATCGTGCAGTGTGAACTCGGCATAACTTGCTCAAGCGCTCCTCTTTTGTGCCAATCACAACAGGCTTGGCCAGCTGACCAATCAGAGCAGAGTAGGCTTATGGAAGGGAGGGGTTTACAGTTTACTCAGAACTGAATCGAACAAACCGTTTTGAAATCATGGACAAATGATGTATAAACGTATATTCTGGGAAAATTACAGTGTTTTCTGACCTTAGATGCATTTAAACCTGTTGTAGGGGACTCCAACACAATATTAGGACACTTTAAAAAACCATATGACCTGCTGTTTAAAGCAGCGTTTGTGAGCGCAGTGCTGCTTTGTGTACAGCATTACCAGGGAAACCGCTATTTTACCGCTCCAAAGTGGCACCTAGTGGCAAAGAATGAATTAGCATTTTCATTCAGACCAACGCGAAAAGAACAAGTGGGCGGGCAATATGCTAATGTTTCATGTTGACGTCAGTATGAAATGGCTTGGGATTCGTTTTAAAAATGACTCGTTTCAGTGATTCAGAATCGACTCTTTCTTTTGAGAGACAGTAACTTTATGCACAGTGCACTTTCAGATTTAAAACTTTGCAGGATGTTTTCACTTATGGAAGGGAGGGGTTTACAGTTTACTCAGAACTGAATCGAACAAACCGTTTTGAAATCATGGACAAATGATGTATAAACGTATATTCTGGGAAAATTACAGTGTTTTCTGACCTTAGATGCATTTAAACCTGTTGTAGGGGACTCCAACACAATATTAGGACACTTTAAAAAACCATATGACCTGCTGTTTAAAGCAGCGTTTGTGAGCGCAGTGCTGCTTTGTGTACAGCATTACCAGGGAAACCGCTATTTTACCGCTCCAAAGTGGCACCTAGTGGCAAAGAATGAATTAGCATTTTCATTCAGACCAACGCGAAAAGAACAAGTGGGCGGGCAATATGCTAATGTTTCATGTTGACGTCAGTATGAAATGGCTTGGGATTCGTTTTAAAAATGACTCGTTTCAGTGATTCAGAATCGACTCTTTCTTTTGAGAGACAGTAACTTTATGCACAGTGCACTTTCAGATTTAAAACTTTGCAGGATGTTTTCATTCACTTAGAGCTGTGTTACACACAGCATTAAAGCTAATTTTCAAAAATTCATACTGTCAGGGCCGGATTAAGGACAAATAGGGTCCTGGGGCTAGCAAACCCAAGGGCCCCCCTTCATAGTAGCATATCTTGGTGCCACAACGTTTTCTACCACAGGAATAATAATTTTTTTTTTTTAAATAAAAAATCTCCAACACAGAGATACAATGAGTATGCACACTAAATATTCCAGGCTACAATACATTAAAATAATAAATACATTAACACATGATATGAAGTCAAAGCTAACAGGTTTACAGAAGCAACAACAAATTTTAAGCATATACAGCTCCCTTAAAGGGATAGTTCACCCAAAAATGAAAATTTGATCTTTATCTGCTTACCCCCAGGGCAACTCATTCGGGAGTGATGATTTTCCATGTATTCCCAACTTCTGAGCCTGCTCGCCTGAAGTTATGGTTGATTGCTCTTCGGCTGGATATCAACACACCCATTAACGTAAACTACGCCAGAGCACGTACACACCTCACGCACCGGATGCCGTGCGCGCGCTCAAAGACAGTTGGACATAGTGGTGTATTAGAGGTCAAATATGATATAAATACTGTTCGGTTTCTGGCACAAACCGATCGTTTCGTGTCTTAGGACATCAATGTGTCGTCATGAGCCGCAGGGTTTAATTTGGATTTGTCTGTGCATGTTTTTTACACTCTCATAGATTTTGTTACCATTGCCATACATTACACGACTGAAACGGCTGGAGTTAAAAATCTCCGTTTGTGTTCTACTGAAGAAACAAAGTCACCTACATCTTGCCCTGGGGGCAAGCAGATAAACATCAAATTTTCATTTTTGGGTGAATTAACCCTTTAAGGAGTTTATTTTAAATAGTTTTATTATTAGAAGTTCTTCTTTCTGGCCCTAGAAGAGGAGAATCATCAGGGCTGGACTGGTGCTAAAATTCAGCCCATCTGTCCCACACAGTCCCCCATAAAATGTCTTGCTGGGGTTAAGGCAATTGGAATAAATAAATAATTTGTTAATAAATAACGGACAAAAACAAACTATATTTTTGAATACTTAAAATGCATTTAACAATATTAATATTCCATTATATTGCAGGCTCTTAATTACTGAATTCATATTTTTCTGCAATTAAAGTTTATTAGAACTATTAAATTCTCCTTTGAAGTTGCCCTAATGAAAAGCTAATTCTTGAATCCAGAGTTAACTGTGTAGTATTAGTAAACCTTTATAAAAGTGACTTATTGCCTTTATTTGACCCAGTATTTAATATAGGCTATAATCGTGACATTAATAATAAATATCATTAATGCCATGTTTCTACAGTGTCAGTAACTGCATGTTAAATAGCCTAGGTGTGGTAGTGTGGAATAAACTGCTTATTTACAGTTTTGTACAGTTTACCTCTACACTTTATTTTACATGGTGCTATTCAGTCTGGTTTCCGCTAGCTTCACCACAGAGACTTTACTGTTCAAAGTGTCATGTGTGTGTCGAATTCAAATGGGCAAGCGCTGCTTTGGCCTATATTATCACTTAAGAGCAACGAAAGTGTCGAGCTACAGTCGCGGGCGGGAGACACCGGTCCGGTGTGGCCCAGCTTTTCTTTTGCGCTGCGTGGTTTAATCAAGTTAATCACTTGGCTTTTAGAGTTTGTTTCCCATGCGCTACAGTAAAGCCGAGGCGATTAAAAGATAGCTGCAACTCTAATGTAAACGAGTACAAAGACATTTTTATCACTCATATCTTTTGGACTGAAATAGCGCAGACACTAATATGTGGGGGCGTGGTGGGATTTTGGCAATTCGGCACACCGGGAAAAGCTCGGGTGCTCCCGATGGCCACTCAAATTCTAGGTCTACTTTTCCTTTCCTCCACATCACGTTCCACATCCTCAATTCGCGGGCCCTGGGGCTTCAGCCTCTCCTAGCCCTTATGTTAATCCGGCCCTGCATACTGTAGTGAATTTCATGACATGACAAGTCTTCTATTTCAGCAAAGCTCAGTCTTAAATAAAATGTGATGAAAATAATGAATTGATGAGCCTAAATTCCATTTTTATTCTAGAGGGGGAGCTGAAGGTTACTCAGGCTGGATGTGATCTGCGAACTTTGAGCTCCGGCGATGTGTTTGGGGAACTGGCCATTCTATACAACTGTAAACGCACAGCATCTGTCAAAGGTCACTTGTTATGTTATTTTGGAGTGATGGCTGATTTGGGTTGCCCTCTGCTGGTGTGGTAAATAAGCATTTCGATGCTCTCTTTCCCACAGCCATCACTACGGTGAAGTTATGGTGTATTGAGAGACAAACATATCGAAGCATCATGACCAACAAATCAAAGAAGAAAAGAGAGCAACTCATGGGCTTCCTGAAAACGTAAGACATTCTGGCACCACTTTACCTCAATCCTGTAATTCGCCTGCATTAGTAAAATAGCAGATGATTTACATGTTGTGTGCTTTGGTTCTCACTTTTTGTATATATTAGTGTATTATTATTGTATGTGGTTTTTAATTGTTTCCATCAGGGCTCGCACTTTGAAAGCCCTGAAAGATGTGCAGCTGTCAAAGATCATTGATTCCATGGAGGAAGTCAGTGTGATTTTTCTCTTATAAATAGTAAATAGCTTGTCTGCTAAATGATTAAATGTCTGAGCTCAGACTCATGAATCTTGTCTAAATGAAGGATGTCTGAAGTATTCTCGAAGAACTTGTTAGAAAATACAGAAGAGAAGAAAATATACCAGACTTTGTGTCAAATTAAGACATATGTTGATTTAGTTGTAGTCATGTCTTTAACTTAAAAAGGCCATTTGGTTAAAATAGTTCAAATTAGCATTTGTGCAATGCGATACTGCCAACCCACTGAGATTTAGTGAATCTCCTTGTTTTTTGCCTTTTTAGTGTACGCACGTCATTAGAGAGGAGATGTATTTGTAAGGGGAGAGGAAAATGTTTAAAAATTATTATTAAATATTATGAGGATGAATTCTAAAAAAAAACGATGTGCACAAATAATGTCAGTTATACTGTATAATGGTATTGATGTTGCAAAATTAATCAATTATGAAATGCATTCAATTCAGCTGTAAAGCAGCTTTATAGAAGACAACAGTGTCATCATGCAGGTTAAGTCAGTTCTCTTTCAAACATTCATTTGGTATCTCACTATGGGAATCGCCTCGGGCGTGACCAATCCTGGAAGCACCAATTACACCACATCTGTCAGTTGACAGACCAATCACGACAGTGATGCGGGAGTCCCACCTCCCTATATATATCACTGCATAACGGTTCCTACCTCATTCTCATTCTCTTCCCCGTGAAGATTTTTTGGAAGCTAAATTCTAGGTTGCCCTCTGGATTAGCTGCTTAACTGTTCTTAGACGAGCTGTCAAGGTAACTCGCCGAGCGCGGCTTTTTCTGAGAGCGGGTGTTTTTCACTGTCAAGGTGGAAACTATTGTTAAGGACAAACGAGCGAATTAATGTGTTACGACGAATTCTCTGGTCTGTCTTTTTTTTCTAAGCGATACATTGTGGTGAGCTTAGCAGCTTGATAAAGAATGGACACGACTATTAGTTCCGCAAGCGGGGCTGCGACTCGCGTCCTTGTGCATGCGGAGCAAGTATTTCAAGCAGGGATTCTCATCCACTATGTATTGTATGCCTGGGAGTGAGACATGCTCAAGCAGCACTCGTGAACCCCGAGTGCTGTCCGCACTGTTCCCTTCTCCTGTCAAGGGTTCTGGAGAGAAGAGTGCAGGTGGTGGCTGCTAATAAAGGAGACCCCCTCCCTTTCTCCGTCGACCATGTCGACCAAACAGACGCCTGTGTCATGTAGTTGGGGCGAGTTTATGGATGAAGTCTCCCCCAAGCTTCCCCCTCTTTTCCCGATCTTGTCAGAGGGAAGGAGGAGGATGATGACGAAGCGATTGCTAGGGAAGCACGTTAAGCGAAGGGTCCCCGGCCTCGGCTCAAGTGGACCTGATCGAAATGTGCAGGAGGGCAGCTGCAAAACTTTCTATTGAATGGCCGTCGCAGCAGGCGGGCCAGGGAAAGGAGAGAGGCCTATATGACTGCCGTTGCGTGCCCCAGTTGTTAAAACAATAATTCAGAAATGAAGCGTTTCTTGGACAAACCCTTTTCAGTGCTTAACAGCCTCAGTTTTTCAGAAAATCTATCATTCCTCTGCTCTGGCAGTGAGGGCTCTGAATGCTACCTCTCTCCTCACTGCTCAAGCAGAGCTCATGGAGGAGATGGGGAGACAAATGGAAGCTGGGTCATCAAACCCAACTCTCTGGGAAGAGATCTGCGTTATTGCCGATCTCAACCTGAGAACCTCCAGGGGGGCAGTCCAGAGCTGTGGCTGCAGCATGGGCTTGGCAGTGGTGGGCGAGCCTTTCAAGGCTATCTGACAGAGAGAGAGCAGATACAGAGAGAAAGCGGAGATGGGGAGACAAATGGAAGCTGGGTCATCAAACCCAACTCTCTGGGAAGAGATCTGCGTTATTGCCGATCTCAACCTGAGAACCTCCAGGGGGGCAGTCCAGATCTGCGGCCGCAGCATGGCAGTGAGCTCTCTGGCTGGGACTTTCAAGGCTATCTGACAGAGAGAAAGCAGATTTCCTGGATGCCCCGGTTGAGCCCAAAGTCCTTTTCGGAGCATCAGTCACTGCTATGTGCCAGCGGTGTGATCTGAGGAAGCAGGAGGGTGAGGCTTTCCAAGCTTGCCTCCCCCGAAAACCCATTCCTAAGGCTTCTCCATTAGCATGCCCTGGTTTTGATGCCCCCCGGCAGCAAGCAGAGACTGACACGAAGATGCTTGTGTATCATTTGGAGCGCTTAGGCTTCAAGATAAACGAGACAAAAAGCTGCCTGGTGTCCACTCAGGAGCTAATCTATCTAGGCCTTAGACTGAACTCAGATCGGTATCAAGCGTTTCTGTCAGAGGAGCGCATCAGGTCAATTCGCAGCTGTCCATCCCTTTTTCAAAAAGGGAACAAGGTCTCATTCAGACTGTGTTAAGCCTTCTGGGGCTGATGGCCTCGACAGTCTCGGTTATTCCTTTGGGACTGTTGCGAATGAGAGCATTTCAGAATTGGACAGCGGCACAACACTTATGTCCAAAACACCACCTCAACCGCAGAGTGATGGTGTCACCACTTTGTATGCGTGCTCTCCATCATTGGAGAAACCACTCGTTCCTTGAATCAGGGACTCCGCTGGGTGCAGTTTCCATGAGGAAGGTAGTAATGACGGACGCGTCACTTTCAGGTTGGGATGCAGTGTGCGAGGACAGAATAGCGAAAGGGAAATGGCCCATCTCGCTGCAGTGCGCATATAAATTACCTAGAACTGTTAACAGTGTTTCTAGCTTTGGAACATTTTGTGCAGTTTCTGTGGTACCACCATGTTCTGATCAGATCAAACAACACGACCACGGTGTCATATATAAATCGCCAAGGGGGTACACGCTCGCCTCAGCTTCACAGTCTGGCACAGAAACTGATTGTGTAGGGCAGGAAACACTTTCCTTCATTACGGGCAACACACGTCCCGGGAATAATGAATGCGGGGGCGGATCTCCTGTCCAGGGGGAATCCTCGGTATGGAGAATGGACACTCCTCCCTCAGATAGTGGGCCAGTTGTGGAGAAGATTCGGCCGCGCTGCCGTAGATCTCTTCGCATCGCACGAAAACACTCACTGCCTTCTGTTCTTCTCGATAGCGAGGGACGGTGTGCCTATGGGTATGGATGCCCTAGCGCACCAGTGGCCAAACGTACTGCTTTACACGTTTCTTCCGCTAAGTCTGATCGTACCAACTCTAAGAAGGGTAAGGGAGTGCGGTCACTCAGTCATATTGATTGCCCCGAACTGGCCAGGGAAATTGTGGCTGACAGAGATAATGCAGCTCCTATGCGACCAGCCCTGACCTCTTTTCACCCCGCCCCGGACAAAGTTGCTCTTTGGGCTTGGCCCGTGAGAGGTTAAACTTAAATGCTACTGGGTTGCCTCCGAGGGTGATTGAGACAATTCTCGACGCACTCTGTTTACGATAGGAAATGGAATGTTTTCGAGCAATGGTGCGCACATTAAGCACATTGTTCCGTTTCTCTGCTCTGTCGCAGATGTGTTATGTTTTCTGCAAGAACTTTTGGATAAAGGCAGAGCTTTTTCTACCGTTAAGGTGTATCTCGCTGTGATTTCTGGGTGTCATGTGGGGATTGACAATAACACTATTGGTCGATACCCGCTGGTATGCAGGTTTATGAGGGGTGCGCAGCGTTTGAACAGAGTGTCAAAGCCATTGATTTCCCCGTGGGATCTGTCTGTCTCGTACACCTTTTGAACCTATAGATAGCAGCGATCTGAAGCTCCTTTCGCTAAAGACCGCATTATTACTGGCTCTTTCATCTGCTAAGCGGGTCAGTGAACTTCATGCTTTGTTGATTCATAACTCCTGTATGCAGTTCGCTATGGATTACTCGAGAGTGTCTCTCAAAACTAATCCAGCGTTCGTGCCTAAAGTGAGCAAGTCAGCTCTAGCCTGTAATCAAGTAGATTTATTGGCTTTTCTTCCGCCCTTTTCATCACCAGAAGAAGAGCGGCCTCACTGTTTGTGCCCTGTCCATGCGTTGCGTTGCTATGTAAACAGAAAGAAAGCGCTGCGGAAGATTAATCAGTTATTTGTTTCATGGGCTGATTCTCATAAGGGTAAACCTATTTCTCGTCAGCGCCTGTCCCACTGGGTAGTGGAAGCTATTATATCGGGTTATAATAGCATGGGTCTTAGTCCTCCGGAGGGGCTAAGGGCTCATAGTACCCGAGGCGTGGCCACCTCGTGGGCGTTGTTTAAGGGCATTTCAATTCAAGACATTTGTGCGGCGCAAGCTGGGCATCGCCACACACGTTTGTCCGATTTTATAGGCTGGATGTTACAAAGCCGTCGTTAGCTCATTCTGTCCTGTGTAAAAAACACAAAAAAAACACTCGTACAGAAGACGTTTTTATTTATTTTTTCACATATCCCAGTTCTATTCTGTGAATAGTGGAGGGTTTTCATTCTTATGCTATCACACATCACTGAGTTGGTTGACATGCCTGCTTCAGACAGCATATCTGCAATACGGGAGTTATCTATACCCCATAGTGAGATACCGAATGAATGTTTGGAAGAGAACTTTAGGTTACTCACGTAACCCCGGTTGTCTGATAACATGAGTGAGGTATCTCACCACACTTCCCTCCTTGCAGCAGCACGGGGAAGAGATATGCGGAGAGTGAGGTAGGGACCGTTATGTAGTGATATATATAGGGAGGCGGGACTCCTCCATCACTGTCGTGATTGGTCTGTCAACTGACAGACGTGGTGTACTTGGTGCTTCCAGGATTGGTCACACCCGAGGCAATTCCCATAGTAAGATACCTCACTCATGTTATCAGAGAACCGGGGTTACGTGAGTAACCTAAAGTTTTATTCTCATCCAGTGGTGTCAATGTAGTCAAATCGATAATGCAGCATTACTGAATATTAACTGAATATGTTGCTGAATATGTCTTGTGAGCCTACAATAGGAAGACATAAGGCAAATCTTACAGTCTCATGAAAGACTAAGGGAATGTGTGCTTTCCTCAATATCAAGCAAATACCATATTTTGGCCTCAATATATTGTTCAGGAAGAAGCATCTGAGGGTCACAATGAAGAGTTCATAAATCTTATTTTGACACAAAGTCCAGCATTTTTTCTTCTAGCAAAGCATGACACGGTGATTCAAAGTCTTTTTCGTGTTTGTTCCCCTGTAAGGTGAAGTTTCAGAACAATGAAGTGATTGTCCGAGAGGGAGCAGAGGGAAATGCGTTTTACATCATTCTCAAAGGAGAGGTAAAAGAAACTCATTACAACTTAAATATGTGTTTTTGAGCACTTTTACAAACACAAAATATGCAAGAATCAAACTTTGCACGTAATAATCTCTGTGTTTGTGTTTGTATTGAATTTAAATGCTACTGTAAAATAAGTCTTGCTTAAAACAGCTGGTCAGGATTCTGTCTATTTCCCATTAGGTTTTAGTGACAAAAAATGTGAACGGACAGCAGAAATTCATTCGTAAGATGGGTGAGGGGGAACACTTTGGAGAACTGGCTCTAATACGGTAACCATGGTCACTGTTACTTAGTGACAAAACATGGGATCATTAGAAATACAATATCATGAATAAATATTTGAAGAGTTCATTTGCAAAAACCGATAAACGCCACTTAAAAAAAAGAGTTGATTGCCGTGCATTATTCTCCACATATAGCACGATCTGAACCCTAAACACGTTTTGTCAAAAAAGCCGGTTTTGTCCACTTTCAAGGCATCGCGAGTTCACGTTGCTAGGTGAGAGGAGTTTCGTCAAAGTTGACTAAAAGTGATCGAGGATGGATCATTTCGACGAACTTGATGAACTTGTGATATCTTCTTCAGGGCGAAAAAGGAAAATAAAAGCTGAAACGTTTTCACGGAACCTTGCAAAAGCAGCACGTTACAATGGTGAGGGAAAAGCTCCGTGTATTGCGTGTAATCACATCCATACAGTTTATGATCACAACAACGTTTGTCAGGCATCTACATTGTCATCTGAGGAGATTACAAAGATTAAACGAGTGTTTTTTCTAAAACATGAAATGTGGAGTTATCTGTTTTTGCCAAAAAAACGACTGTTGGAGTTATCTGCTTTTGCTATAAAACAAACTTTTAATATGTAAAAAAACATACTTTCAATGAATTTTAATTCTAAATTTTAAATAATTACCTGTATTTGTTTAAGTTATTATTAATTAATCAAAACAACCCATTACTAGGAATGCGCAATAAAAAAAACGTGATTTCTGAAAAAAAGTTATCGGTTATCGGTTTTTGCAAATTAACTCTTCATTTGTTAATCATTGATCAGTTGGTTATTTTAAATGATTGTTTTTAAAGATGTAATTTTCTAGATACAGTTATCAGGTAGGCTACCTCTGTAAATGATGTAAGCCATAGATAGTTATCACAGAATTATGATATCAAAATCTGATGTAAATGTAAAAGTCAAGTAAATGTTCTATTGTGTTTATTGCAGAGAGATCCTCAGGACAGCCACATGCACAGCGGTGGGAGCTGTCACTTGCTTTTCCATTGATAAAGAGTGAGTTTGATGTCAGTGATGACAATATTGCTTTACTTAGTTTGTGCAGATGCAGTCACATAATTCCCTTGATTGAGTATATCTGATAAATAATCACTGTCCTTTATTTCTCACAGGGTTTTTGAGGAGACCATTCCTTTTGAAAGCCTTGAGCTCCATGATGAGTGAGTTTTCCTGCTTTGAAACTTCTACATTTGTAAAGATTTTCAATATAGTCTTCAACAGTGTTGGGGGTAACGCATTACAAGTAACGCGAGTTACGTAATCAGATTACTTTTTTCAAGTAACTAGTAAAGTAACGCATTACTTTTTAATTTACAAGACAATATCTCATTTACTTTTTCAAATAAGTAACGCAAGTTACTTTTTATTTTCCAATTTATTGATTGGCAGCTCTCCTGTCCCCATGTTGAGAGAAATCAGATGTTACTGTAGTTCTAAAATAAATATGAATATGCATTAATTCATCTCACTCACAAAAAAACCCCCACATAATCACAGCATCGTCTGATAAAATCAACATGCGTCTACACTAAAGAGCGGCTATGCGGTTGTTTTGGCTATATTACCGTTTTGTCTCATGCAGCGCACTGCCTGCACCTGAGTAACAAACTAAAAACAACAACAAACAACAAAGTGCATGTGATATTAACAGACATAATATCACATGCACAAACAATCAGTAAGCGACAGATGCTAGGAAACGCTGTTTTGTACTCATTTATTGAGGAGTCGGCCGCGGTGCTTCTCTGCCGCTCACTGCACAGAACAGACGCCGAGAGAGGCGACACTTCTCCGGGAAAGTCAGACCTTGCGTTCGCGGGACAGCACTTAGTCACTTTTAACATGCGGAGTTAATGTTTATATACCATTAACAAGGGGGGAAAGCCATCAGAAAATCCTTTTGCAAACACAGATCAGTGGTGTTTTCTGATTTTGCTAGATTTGAAGCATAGACAAATAGCTAATTATTTTAGTCATAAATCAGTTCTTGCAAAGATTCACAAGCAGAGAGTAGGCTTGCCGCGATATACGGTGCTGACGGTGATACCGGTGTGATACCGCAACACCGGTTACGTCACTTGCCCACCGTGGCACCGACCCCCATTAAACAAGGAATTTAAAAAAATTCATATCATAACAAAAAAAAACACCAGTATTCGGTATGAACCGGTATACCGCCCAGCCCTAGTTGCATTGATGCAGAATTGCGCTAATTCGAAAGTGAACGTAAAATGCGCACGGCGCTTTTAAGCTATTTAAAAGTGAAGAAAAGCGAGGAAAAGAGGGAAAATTCAAACAAACTAAAAACGAACAATTGCTTTACACCGAATTGCCACTATTTGAAAGTGAAAGTAAAATCTGCACGCCACTTTTGCAAGCTATTTAAAAGCTAAGGAAAGCGAGGAAAAGAGGGAACGCCGCTACCCCCATGGTGATACCGGTATTATCAGTGTTGACACACGTTGATTAACCGGTGGGAAAATTTCCTCACCGTCACAACCCTAGCAGAGAGGATTCTTCACTAGTTATCTACTTAGTCACTTTTAACATGCGGAGTTATTGTTTATATACCATTAACAAGGGGGGAAAGCCATCAGAAAATACTTTTGCAAGCACAGATCAGTGGTGTTTTCTGATTTTGCTAGATTTGAAGCATAGACAAATAGCTAATTATTTTAGTCATAAATCAGTTCTTGCAAAGATTCACAAGCAGAGAGTAGGCTTGCCGCGATATACGGTGCTGACGGTGATACCGGTGTGATACCGCAACACCGGTTACGTCACTTGCCCACCGCGGCACCGACCCCCACCGTCGTTTAGATTTTTTATAGTAATAAAAATCATTTAGTTCAGTAAAACTGCTCTTTGCAAGCCCGTAAAACCATTTTAAGCACCGTTAAAGTACTGTCCCTTTTAGCTTATCTTGAGATATAGCCAAACAGTCCAGGAAATGCTTCACCTTACTTAATCCTGCATGAGTTTTACGACTGCAGAGGCGGAGAAACGAACCTCAACAACCTTCCATGGAATGTGCTGGTTTGATGTGTGTGTCTCCATCATGTAGGTGGGTCTGTTGTGAGACAGATCCTACATGGGTTTGTCCCTTTTTTAATATGGTTAGAGTTTGAGCATATTAGAAAAAAATCAGCATATCAGACTGATTTCTGAAGGATCATGTGACACTGAAGACTGGAGTAATGATGCTGAAAATTCAGCTTCGCATCAGAATAAATTACATTTTAAAATATATTCAAATAGAAAACAGTTATTTTAAACTGTAATAATATTTCACAATATTACTGTTTTTATACTGTATTTTTGATCAAATAAACGCGGCATTGGTGAACATAAGAAAATGAAAATCTTAACTGATCCCAAATTTTTGAACAATAGTGTAGGTACTAAAATTAATCTCCATATTAAATCCAAACTATTAGACATACTATAGGGAATACTTTCACTATATGATATACATTATTAGTGTATTATAGTGTAGTTTTTTTATATAATTGTTCAGTGGCATCTTTCTAAGCCACTGTTTGAATGAATCTGAGTTTTTCTAAGCATACAGCTATAGGTGCCTGTCTACAACTAAATGCAGTCTTTAATTGAGTTATAATATGAATTATACATTATGTTGAATTATATATTATAAGTATTGCTGTCTCCAGGCCAGAAACATCTCTAAAGCTGAAAGATCTCGTCCCTGTACTGTACCAGGAGGGAAGTTATCACGGAGAGCCTGTCACTCTTGGAGTCGGGGGGTTTGGAAAAGTGGAGCTGGTATGAGAGGAGAGCATAGACGAAGTCCTTTTAATGTCAAAACACTACTTAAGCCTGATTAATGATGATTGGTTGCTTATTTACCAGGTAACTACCTTGCAGCACAGAATGTACTTTGCTATGAAGAAGATCAGTAAACAGCATGTTGCTGCAAAGAAGCAGGAAGGACACATTCTCCTAGAAAAGAAAATTCTCCAGGCAATCCAATGTGACTTCATTGTCAGGTTAGTGCAGCTACCTACCTAACCTATAATCACATATGAAATTCCGGTTTGACTTTTCTGCTGTTGTTCAGGCTGCATGCTGCCTTCAAAGATTCTCGTTACGTCTACATGATCATGGAGTTTTGTCCTGGTGGGGAAATCTGGACCAAGCTGAAAGAGGCGTAAGACATTCACAAATGAATCAGTGTTGTTTGCTAAGGCAAGCATCCTTATGACAGCTGCTGTTGCTGTGTTGTTGCATTGCATAGAAACTTACTAGCAGGAAAACCCTAGCAACCACATAACAACAATGCATTAACAACCATTCAGAACATCTTATGTGTTCTTAGAAAATGCATAAGTGTCATCTTTCTTGCATAATATGGTAGACCATTAATTAGAATCCATTTTCTGTCTCTGTCAAATGTTTGACTGCAGATATGTATTTCCATAATTAGTGAATGTGTGAATGTGGGCGCATGTGTCATCATGTTGCAGAGGGCGCTTCGAGGAGAATATAGCCGTGTTCATAACAGCGTGTGTGGTTGAAGCCTTTGCATACCTCCATAACAAAGGGATCCTGTATCGAGACCTGAAACCAGAAAACCTCATGCTGGACTCCAAAGGATATGTGAAATTGGTAAAACAAAAGAAATTCCCTTTTCCCTGCTTCTCCTGTCTTATACATCTATAGTGCCTATAACCCTGTTTTTTAATGTGATGCAGCATGCAACTGTGATGTATTTAAACAAGGATCTGTTTTTCCACTTTCAGCGAATAGAGCAATTACAGGCATTTACACTGATAAGCTGTTAATACAATTGTGATCATTTGTCACTGTGACAATTTAATACGGCCACTAAAAGATACACTTCTTTCTTGCTCTTTTTTTTTTCTTGGATTTTTTTCAGGTTGATTTTGGTTTTGCAAAAGAGCTTTCTCGGGGTGAGAAGACATATTCGTTCTGCGGTACTCCTGAGTACATGCCTCCAGAGATCATTCAGAACCAGGGCCATGACTTTGCTGCTGACTTCTGGTCACTTGGTGTTCTAATCTATGAGCTACTTGTGGGCAGGTAATAAAGTTTTCTCATGTAATCCATAGGGCTGTGTATCACCAGCAAAGTCACGATACGATACGTATCACGATACAGAGGCCACGATACGATACATATCACGATACGGGACTGCACTATATTTCACCTCAGAAGAATTTTGTAAAACAGCTGTTTATTAAACACTGCATACCATAGGGCCGTTGCTAACTCGTATCGTCAGATCTCTGTGACGATACATCGTCGTATCGATGTATCGAACACAGCACTAGTAATCCACACGTGCGGCAACAGCGAGTTAATTATTTTTTATTGCTTTTTATCAAATAAGTTAAATTGGGTGAAGGCTGTTGTTTTACAAACTGGAAGAATCTGTAATGTGCAGGCAGAGCAGAGGATCTAATCAAAGAAACAAAGAAAACAAATGACACTGGGAGGAAAGAAACAGAAACACTGGACATTACATTCAACAACTGACAAAGAACAAGTGAAACACTAGGGCTGTATATTATAAACAGGGGTAACAAGCTAACACGGTTAGCTTGTGCTCTTTAATTTGAAGTAAAATCATTTATTTAGAGGAATGCAGTCATATTGCTTATGTTAATGTATTTTTCCCTGTTGCACCGTATGCATATGTGCTGTCCATAAGGCTATGGCACTAAAGTATAGTATTATCACTTTTCAAATTTTGTTCTGTCACAATTCACATTAATGCATGAAGTTCAGTACATTTCAAATGTAATAATTTGCAGTAGAAATTATCATTTCCGAAATTACTTTCAAAGTTAGTAAATAATTTTACAAGAATATTCAACGCCCTGTATTTTGCATGTGAATAGAGGAACACCCCAAAATCATTAGTGACCGTGGAGCACAAAACCAGTCATAAGGGTCAATTTTTCGAAATTGAGATTTATGCATCACATGAAAGCTGAATAAATAATCTTTCCATTGATGTGTGGTTTGTTAGGAGAGGACAATATTTGGCTGAGATACAACTATTTGAAAATCTGGAATCTGAGGGTGCAAAAAAATCTAAATATTGAGAAAATCATCTTTAAAGTTGTCCAAATGAAGTGCTCAGCAATGCATATTACTAATCAAAAATGAAGTTTTAATATATTTACGGTAGGAGATTTACAAAATATCTTCATGGAACATGATCTTTACTTAATATCCTAATGATTTTTGGCATAAAAGAAAAATCGATAATTTTGACTCATACAATGTATTGTTGGCTATTACTACAAATATACCCCAGCGACTTCAGACTGCTTTTGTGCTGCAGGCTCACATATTTTCATCAAAGGAACCCGAAATGATGCGCTGCTTTGCAGATTTCAAGCATGCAGTCCTTCGTTCAGACAGTGTTTGCATGTGCTATCAAGTTTGCATGGATTTCATTTTTAGATCAGGGCCAATAAGCTATAAAATTTCATTGTGGGTGAAAATAAATAAAATACTTGTGTTTAAATGTGCTTTTCTTGTTTTATTTGTCCGAAAGTCCGCCATTCTCCAGTTCAGACCCACAGAAGATCTATGCCAAGATCTTGGATGGTGTGCTGAATTTCCCGTCATATATGGGGGAAGGTGCCAAATCTCTCATCAGTAAATTGTGCAGGTCATTTCTGACGATCTATTATGAAGACTTTGGCTTGGTTTTACACATTTTTCACATTTTATTTAAATGTCACCCCTTAATTAATGTCATTTAGGTATTTACATGATTAATCTTCAGTTTGTGTGTTGTTTACATGACATGCAGATCACGTCCGGGCCAGCGTCTGGGCAATACAAAAAATGGAATCAAAGATGTCCGACATCACAGGTAAGCTTTATCAATGTATATTGTGTATTATAATAGTGTATATTGAATTTAAATGTGTGTGTGTGTATACACACAGAGTAGTACTGAGTTGAGTATGGTTATGGTAATGGTAATGAGTATGCTAATGTGACGTGTGCTTTTATTGTTTTTGTTATTAATGTTTTTCCTGTAATGTGTGTATTGACATTTTCTCTCAATTATTTCTCAGGTGGTTTAACATCATTAACTGGCATAGATTAAGAATGGGGCAGCTGGAGGCACCAACTATTCGACTCATAAGAAAGGTCAACTTTTTTTCACAGCTTACAAAAGTAACACTTTAGCTCCACTCCCTTAAAGAAGTCATATGATGTTGCTAAAAAGAACATTGTTTATATGGTTTAAGGTTAAAAAAACATTATTTTCCACATACTGTACATTATTGTTTCTCCTCTATGCCCCGCCTTTCTGAAACGCATCGATTTTTACAAAGCTCATCGGTCTGAAAAGCGAGGTGTGCTGTGATTGGAGCAAGTTTTAGGTTCTGGGCAATATGATGATATATATATAGGGACGATACAAGTGATCCTCTGTATTTTAGATCAAGCTATATTGTAATCATAGTATTGACATATATCAGTGCTGCAGTGACTTGGCCATACGCAAAATGATGCATTCAAAAACTTTCACAAAATGAAATGGCATTAATTCCCATTTATTGTCAAGATTTATTGCCACAGAACAGCCATTGAAAACACATCTAATGTATGTGAGTCAGCTAATTTGAAAAAGGCTGGTGCAGTTAACAATCACACTAATGATCAGCGTTACTCCCTCTATTTTGGCTTAAAGATGCAGAGCACCAATATACTAACATACAATCATTTGTCAACTATGATTATTATTTTTCTTATTTCACCCCTAAAACATTTGACTTAAGTGATCCTATAGTGTAGAAATACTGTATTTTATTAGAAAATGCAATATAAATTCGAACTGCAGAATTTACATGCTCACATACAGTATGGTAGATTTTGCAAAGTCTTTGTGCTTTTGGAGAAACTTGATGTACATTTGGTAAATAAAAGATCAGGAACGTAAATGCTTCTAGCTCAATTTCAAGTCATTTTGTTACAGTAACACTTCGTCTAACCTCTGCTCTTCATCTTTTGATGCCTGAAATTGCTCAGCATGATCATTATTGTGACTTGTGAGGGTTACAAACAACCATCTCAAACTTGCAACCAATTTCATAAAAACGAGGCTCTCAAAAGCCTTCAGAAATCAATTGTGATGCAGCTCTATGACTATGATATACAGTAAATGAAATCGTCACTCACAGCATCTAGTTCACACACAGTAAAAAAAAAAAAACAGCCTGAAGATCTTAATTGCTTCTTTCTTTGTGTTGTTAACTAAGCAGAGACGAAACAGAATAGCACTTAAATATCGCAATCATATTGAAATCAGTGCGTTTTGTTCAGCCAGAGCTACCCTGTACAAGAAAAGGGCATATTAGTTGCCTTCAAAACAAGAAGAAAAAAAGTACAATTCATTTATAAACAACAGTCCTGAATGCTTTCAGCTGTGAGTCTACTACGAGAGAAACATCGATTCCTGCCTCCTTCAGAGTAAATCATCCGAGGACACATTTAATCTGTAAACAGTCTTGTGTGTGATTTGTCTGTTACTCTTCATTCCCTGAAGAGTGTTAAGTGGGTACGAGAAGGACGAAATTACGGTCATGGCTCGGCAACCGTAGTATTCCTCGCAGCAGAGTGGAGCTGTGGCTTAAAACGTGTCTCAGATCTCCATGGCAACTGCAATCTCTCCGTCTCAGCCAGCGCTCGCTAAGCAGAACAATACGGTTACATTAAAGTAAAGCAATAAGCCCCAAGAAGCCGTGGTTTACAGTGAATTTATAACAGCTAAGGGGCGTTGTTAGCTGTTATAAATTCACTGTAAACCACGGCTTCACGGGGATTATTGCTTTTATAAAACGGTTATTCCATATACGTAGCAAGGTTTCACAGAATAAAACAGAGCAAATAAAGTGTAATGATCTTAATAAAAACAGTATTCTTCCACCAAACAATGTAGTTCCTCGGAAACAGTTGTGGTTCCAACAAAGTGATTGCCGAGAAACACACAGAAGTAAACAAAGGTGTGTGTTCGTAGTGTAGTTTACAACAGCTTCGAACGCGGCTCAGCCAATCAGAATCAAGGACCGGAACTCTCCGTTTTATAATGAGCTGTAACCATCATGTTAAAACATTTTGGTGTACTTGGTTTGCATTGCACGATCATGAAAAACTTCCAGTAAGTTCAGTAACAGTAGACGTGATTGTTTCTGGGTAGTAACTGATTACATGTAATCTGTTTTACGTAATCAGATTCAAAAGGTCGGTTACACTTTATTTCAAGGTGTCCTGGTTACAGTGTAGTTATACATTTAAGTACTGAGTAATATTAATTAACTACATGTACTTACTATATGGTTAGGAATAGGGTTTGTCTTAGGGCCACTTGCATGAAATTATGCATAATTTATAGTTATTACAATAGTAAGTGCATGTATGGTTTAACAAGCACACCTTAAAATAAAGTGTTACCAAGAAGTCTACTACTTGTAATTAGAGTACATTACATTTAAAATACTCATAATCAGATTAGTTACATTTGAATGGATTACTTGATTACATATTCACACAAGGGAAGTCAATTATTCATAATTTATTGTTATTCTCTTTTTTTTATGTTTCTTTCTAAAACGAAATGTTCCTTTCTGTTTTCATGTTTATTAATGTTTGTTCATATAATGCAGGGATTTCCAAATGTTTTTGTCAGCAAAACACCTTAAAGCATTTACTAGAAATGTCTCTGAGGAAGTTAAAATTTCAAATAATCTCACAACACATTTGCATGTTTACAATTCTTTGATGTCATAGTTATCTGGAGTAAATGTTTAGTGTTCAAGGGTTTCAATTATTTTTATGATTTCATTAAATATTAGCTTTTTTTATCAACTCACTATTCACTCAGTCAACTCACCAATGAAATGTTTAATGCATTTTATGATGCTGATACAAAACTATGACTTTTGCCTCAATAAACTCCTAATTTGCTGCTTATTAATAGTCAGCAAGGTAGTTGTTAAGTTTAGGTATTGGGTAGGATTAGGGATGTAGAATATGCTCATGCAGAATATGTGCTTTATAAGCACTAATAAACAGCCAGTATGCTAGTAATTATGCATGCTAATAAACAACTATCAGAATGACTTGGCCCCTATACTAAAGTGTTACCATATTTTCTTGTCACATTTAATGGTACATTTAAAACAATTTATCTAAAAAAGTAGTCAGAATACATTACCTAAAACGAGTAACCTAGATTACGTTACTAATTACCGTTCAGTAACAGACTAAAATGTGTAAGTGATCTACTCATCTCTGCTGGTTACAGTGCGATATTTGAGCTCTGATTGGTTAGGGTGGGTTAAGCAGTTTTTGTCAGGATTGCAGAAGGTGATTTTCAGTCCAGGCAGAAATATCTAAAAGTGACCAAAAGTAAAAATTACAAACCCCACACTTTTGAATGGTAGTTTATGTTTGCTAAAAGGATACACTTGAAACAAAACACTCAATTGTAAGTGACTGTTTTAAATGTGTTCTCTCATAATATCAAAACAGCTTTAGTTGATTACATACTGGATGGCCTTCTGTGAGCCTGTCAGGGTTGCTATGGGAAGCAATAATTAACCATGAACTGAAGGCACCTGTTCCCAATTAAACACCAAACATAAGGAGCAGCGTCATCGTCATCAGCAGAATGGTGTGTATGTTCTCCCATTGAAATCCAAGTGCTCTCCTCATATCCTTCTTCACCGTGTCTGCATGGGAAAAGGTCAATGGTTTGAGCTTGTCTAATCTGCATATGTTGAAGCTGCCCACTAGCCATGAATCAGCTTGAGTTGGGGGATATATATCAGCAACTATAAAATTATATTTAGTATCCTACTTAATTTTCAATGGAATCCATTGCTTTGTACAGTAAAGCTCATTTTGTAAGGGCTATTTGAGAACACCATAATGATTATCTGAATAATTTTAGAAGCTTTAAAAGAGAGAAGGTTAAATCCACATGGAACCAAACATTCATGCTCTTCACCCATGCACTTAAGTCTGATGCCATGCATCATCGTTTTGGGTCCAAACGATGCTTCAGATCCCATAACCAAAAAATAAATGGTCCTAATATACACCCACGGTGTGCTGTATACCCCAGAAAAATCATGACCCTAACCTTTATCTCCATACCAAAATCTCAAATGGCTCAACAATGATTAATGTTAAATGAATTGTTAAAAAGCATGTTTCACAGGTGCCACGAATCCACAGACGGTAGTGTACGCTGTGAATTTTTAAAAGCATAAACAGCTGTTGAGAGTGTTCTCACTTGACATGAAGTAGAGGTTTGGCCCCAGAAACAGCATGACTTAAGCGAATAGCAAGGACACAGGAAAAAGTGCCTGGAGTAGTCATGCAGCACATCAAAAATGGGAATGGTTCAACTGAAGCTGCACTGCACAAACAAATACTTGCAGTGTTAAAAGCTTTGTTGAATATATTTGGAGCAATATGTTACATGAAGAACACTTTTATACCTGCCTCCACAATGACCCCCTACACTTGAGCACCCTGTGCTCAGATACTTTTGCTGCCTTCGAGTCCACTTCAGACCTCAAGTCACAAATCAACACATTCAGTGGCTGCATTAGCCCAAAAATGCATTAGTCATTTTTGACTGATTTCATTTTTGTTTCCTCGAGTCCAAAACTTGGTTACTTTTTAGAAATACACAATCTGGAGAAGAAAAAAAAACCTGGCCTTCATTTGATGAGTGGTCATAAAAAAGACACACATTGGCTGTCAAAGGTGACTGATCATAGGAAATCAATGGGGAGGACTGTAAGGCAGAGAATTTATTTTTAATTATTTTGAGTGAAATCTATATATCAACAATATTGAACAAAGGCACACACAAATGAAGTGAGGGAGACCATAAAACATTTAAAAGAGTGCTATGGTTGGCTTTGGCTGTATGCATTAAGTCGAGTCAAATTTATGTGTATAGTGGCTTTTCACAATACACAGTGTTTCAAAGCAGCTTTACGAAAAGTCATACTTTTATGTCTATGACAAAAAATCCAAATGTATTTTAAGCATAAAATCTAGAAATGTTGTGCAGCTGCTGGATGCATAGAACAGTTTCGCTATCATAATGTGATTTTGATATGTCAAAGTCATGTTATTTATCTTTTTTCATCAGATGGAAGCAACCT